ATTTTACTTATCGTTCCTGTCACCGCTAACCCTCTGTAGTTCCCACAGTCATCCTTCCTTCCTTTTTTATGCGACGCTGTTATCCAGGCCTCTTTCCATTCTTTCGGGATGTCATCACCGTCAACGCACTTCTGCAGCAAATCCCTGAGATGGTTAACCAACTTGCCAGTCCCACATTTAATTTACTCGGCTGGAATGTTTCCTGGCCCAGGAGCTCTTCCATTCATCAATTCCCTGATTGCTTTGACCACCTCCTCAACTCGAATTTCCATTGAGTGATCCTCGACTATATTTTCAGCATTCCCCGTTTGAAACTCTGGTCGTCCTTCCGTCAATAATTTATTAAAATGTTCGTCAAGCTGTGAGATTGTTATCGGAGAATTATATTATAATTAAATATAGAATTATAACTTATAACTAGAATTATAACTAGAATTATAAACTTCCGAGAATATCCTCTGAAAATTTCGTGTAAAAAATCCAGCCATATCCCCTTGAAAAAATAGGAATGGTGTTTTGAAACATCGCGATCGAGACGCACTTCTTTGTAGTTCATCCGACATTATCTTTATAATCCCCCGTATGAGAATTAAACTAATGAATAAAATTTATTTCAACGCTTCGACAGAAAGTCTAGATGTAGCCAAGTCTGACAGTGAAACTGTGACGTCACTGGCAAAAAGAGCCCAACTGGAGCAAAGATACCGAAAGCAATGCCCGCACCGGCGGACAACGTGAGAACATGAACTTTTTTCTGCAGCACTATGGAAGAACGTCATATAAGCCATCTGGCGTTGGCAAATTTCCTTCAACAAATCACGAATTTCCAGGAGAATTTGTGTATACTTTTTCTCCGCTTTTTTAGAAGATGTCGTTCGTAATTTGATCTCAAAAGTCAGAAAATTCTAAAGACAAACATCCATAACTTTCTTCAAAAACAAATATTTCCGAGGGGAAATTTGGCAACGCCCGACTGCTCATCCGGCGTTTTTACTTAGCGCGTCGTTTTTCGCCTTTTTAATCGGGGCGTTGCACAACTTGATTGAGCGTGAACTCATATTTTCGACTTTAAGTTGCGTCGGTCGGCGATACTTGTTCGGGACTTGTGCACAAATAAGGAGAGTGACCAGCCGCAACCTATTAATCGAGTAGGCGGCGGCGCTCGTCGACGTTTCAAATATAGCGCGTCTGAGTGTTGTTATTGAATCGTATCCTTGCATCACTGATGAGTCCTCTGTATTTCCGGTCCGGGGTTCCGCCCTCCCCCCTCCCCCTCTCCCTCTTCGCCCCCGCTTCCTCTCCTACTTCAGCGGAAATTCCGGAAAATGGACGAATCAAGCTCATTTTTATTTGAGTTTAAAAAAAAGAAAAATTGAAAATTTTGCGATACACATTCGATTTTTGTGCACATGGAAATGACTTTATAAAATCATCGATAATCTTGCAATTATAAAGTTCATAACTATCGTTACAACTGGATCACGTTAAGCAGAAAGAAACCAAGCCGCATCAGCTGTTGCCAAATTTAATTGGGTAATTTAATTATTTACACGCAAACGGTCTGCGGTTTTCCATGCTTTCAGTGAATTTGCTGCACAGTGCGGAGCAAATTCCTTGAGATCGTCGAAAAAATCCGCACAAACGTTCTCCTCCAAACAATTTATTGATTCGTTAAATGGCAATCGCTGATGTGACTTGGTTCCTTTCTGCTAAACACGGTCCAATTATAATCATGATATAAACACGCCAAAAAATTTAGGTTTTAATTATTTAATCACATATTTAACTTAACTTTGAAAAAGCAGGAAATTAGGAAGATTAGAAATTTATACCTTATATTTGAGATACGGGAGACAACATTTGATGAAAATGTTAAACGTAACGCTCACATTCAGAGAGGTCCGCGATTCCTGAAAAATAATGCCGTTCAAAACATTGCGAGCCGCTCAGCCGCTATACAAAATGGGTTACAAAATATATATGTTTCCCTCTTAGAAAACATTATTTGGAAAATTATTTATAGCTCAACCCCTCAATGAGCTAATGTTTGGATAACTCAAACAATCCAAGGGCATAACGTTTCCTCATTTGAATCGATGCCTGCTAAAAGGGCGTAACGCAAAAAACTCATGAGCCCTGACTTTATTTTATTGCAAAGGACAATAGGGCCCATGAGTTTATGGACCTACGCCTTTTCAGCAGGCATTGATTCATTTGCAGTAGCAATCAGTAACACGTAGACAAAATCTGTGGTAGCTATCAGTTGCTCTGACGATATCACACCGTCAAATTGATCGGTTAAAGACAATTACACACGTGCCGATAAAAAAAAATAGATGGGAAATGAAGTTAGTGATAATAATAGACACGATTTATTCAATTAGACGTTATCATCACTCATTGCCCTTTGGCGATGCAGCATTCATGTGCAGCATTTTCATGACCTTTATGGAAGTTGCATTTGTAAACGTACTATGAGTATTTTCAACACATAAATGGATTTGGTCCAAAATATTGCATTCACTTAAATCGTGGCCTTGGAAATTTTTACACTTTATACATTCATGTTTCTATTTGCGTTTTCAGCTGAACAAGCACAGCGTTCAAACTTACGGAATGTGCGATAATTTGAGTTGAAGTGCACTGTGCGCTTTTTAAAGAATGGAAGACTCCTATTGAAGGCTCATAATTTTGAATTATTTTTAAGGGGTACAGTTTACAACCAATATAGAATGTCTCGAAATCGACTTTCCACGTGCACACTATGGACACCGTGATGAGTTCGAGCGTAATTATAGAGTGCCTAAAGTCACCATCAAAAATTTCTAAACATCAATGGTAAAATTGCAAAAAACAGCGCGTCTTTCTTTACGACACTTCCGACTCTGCAAAATGTTACTAATGTTTTAAATACTCTTATGTTAACTGCTCATATTATACATGCAGGTGAACTTTGACGCTTTGCGACGCGACACCCAAATATACTACATGAGCTTATCTATGTATGTATAAAGCCACTTTTTAGCGCTCTCTGGCGCTCTGCGACTCCTAGCCACCAAAGTCCCCTATCCTCCCAAAGCCCTTCAGGGAGTTGGCAAACCCTCATTTCTTCTAAAACCCCCTGTCGCCACCTTTTACTGGGCGTCCCCTTCGTCTCATCTCAGGAGGAAAAAACTATCATCTAAAAACTACGCTTATCTAGAACTTCATGATTTAAAATAAAAAGAAGAAAAAAAAGATATAAATACAGCTACTTACAATTCTGCTGTGCTAAGGAAAAACGCCGTATGATCATTCGAAAGTTGCCACATTTCCTTCGATATGATGTTTATTTTTGAGGAAAATTAGGAATATTTTTCCTTGAAATTTTAAGGAGCCTCAGGGAAATTGCGAACTATATTATCTGAAAAATGGGATGAAAAATATCCGTAAGTTCACCAGGAAATTCGTGTTTTATTAATCAAAATTTGGCAACGCCTGAAGGTTCATACGGCGTTTTTCCTCAGCGCACGGCAGAATTACAGTCACACATAACGATAAGCAGCGGCTGCCACGAAAAAGACATTCTTTGTGTTACATGTTACGATGGTGCTATGGATGGCTCCAAACCAAGACTTCTCACTAATTTTGTCCGCTTAACCGAGACATAAATCATCTCAATCGAAAACAAAAGTCTCGAGGGACGTTGAGGACAGTAAAAAACGAAAATGATTTCCAATTTGAAGATCTTCAAATAAACAGTGAAAGTTGATGAACGAGAGAGCTACACAGGGCAAATTGGCGATTTAAGCGCCACGCCGTAGGACTTGAATATCAATAAGCAATGGAGTGTTGCCAAACGCCTTCAAAATATAAATGTTAAAATGTAGGGAAATATCAATTTTTGCACTAATTTTGCAACCGTGTGGAGTGGATCCAGCCGACCGGCACGTTGGTCGTGTTGCACTATTCCTACGACTCTTGTTAGCGATCTAGTCGTGCCTGATCGCGCGACTTCATCGGAATAAAGGATCCAATCAGAATCAGCAGAGGATCAGAATTCGGCTTGACTATTAATTAAAGTCTCAATGCTCTCTCGTGCTAATTTTTTTTGATTCGCGGTGCCAAAACCCGAAGGTCGGCAGAAAATGACAAGCGAAAGGTCAACTGCCATTATTTCAACTTGGCAGTGCCCTACTGTGAAAGAGGATGGGCGCAGCATCTTAATCGAATTTTTAACATCAATTTCGAACTGAATTTAATGGATATTAGGAAATGCATGTGATTTATTCATTAACGGGAACACTGAAGATATGCCTAGAAAATTAAAGGAAAATTAAAATCAAATATGAAAGCTTTGGAAAAGTAAAGTCTAATTTTTATGTCATTTGTCTTTGAGTCGCTGAAACAAAATTAAATTAAAATGTAAGACTTAATTAAGATTGCAATTCCCTTGTCACATTCTGTTACAAATAGAGAGTGCCAAGAAGTACGATTGTGTATATAATCTTGTGAAGTGACTCGCATATCGTTGCATTGGGAGGACAAGTACAGTGAAAGTTCCTTCATTTTTCCGATTATACAACAAGCCTTTCCATTAAGCACTAACAGTTTCATGCAAGAGTAACCATAGGAACGTCATCTCAATTTTATCTCACACGATATTATCTCAATCATAGTCAACTTTGAGAGTCAATTATTGTTGAAAAAACTCTTGTTCGGGTGAAAATTATACTTTAAAAAACACTTACAATATCATAACTATCAACAAAACTAATAAAACAATTAAATAATAATAAGTTTCCATGGAGTAAGAGGAAAGCTAAGCACCAAAAAAAGAGATGCATAGAATTAGGCAACCTCACTTGCACTCGATGACTATCGGTTCTGAGCACGTAGGTTTTAATTTGAAAAATCAAATCGAATAAATATTACACGACTGTGTATTCATATTTTCTCTCCCTGATGTCACACCATTCGACTGAACTCTTCTCCGAATAGGTTGAAAGACTCCTGATCAGTTTCAAAGACACACCTCTGCAAATGACGAAACAAATTGATGAGATTTTTCGCTAAATTACCAAGCACTCTGGGAAGTCCTTCATTGGTCCTTCCTTTGGCATAAGTTTTGAATTTTCCCGAGAAGTTAATCATTATACCACACTCGGGTACGACCATTAGAGCTATGTGGCAAGCCTTCAAATCATTAAGGTCCATGCATGAAGATGAATGGCAGCGTTACGAAGTTATTTATGGGCAAATAGCTGGTTTCGTATGAACTCTCCTGACTGTTGGGTGGTGCTGTTCAATGTGTGATGAAAAAATCTCTGACTGTCACAAGTGACAGAAATTGTAGGCTACTTCCAAATTAAGTCAATTGTAAATTTTGCGGATGGGATTAAAATAAGGTCTAACAATGATTCTGGTTGTAACCTAAAGTGCAAAAATTTTAATGAAAAAAAAACCCTAGTATTTGAAACAAAAATTTTGCTAAGCGACAAGGAGTCATTAGAAATTCAGTATCTTTACGGTCGATTTTTTTATTTTTCTCATCCATTTTTTGGATGTTCAGCAAAATCAAGCTTAACTATAGTCTCCAAACGCCCCAAATTCCAAAATTGAACTGAGAAACTTGTTAAATTTATGAAAAGATTTCTCTTGCTTTTAAGTACAAAAACGCACAAATATTGCAATTAGAAAAAAAAAGAAGTAGAAAAATAATCAGTTCTTTCGCTCATTTTTTTATGTTTCACATGAAATTACTTTAAATCGTCACGAGTGAGCCTGTAATTGACACGTCTTACGCCCACTCTCTGTAAAGTCTCGTGATAATACAGCGTCCATGTTGCGTTACTCATATATGCGAAGACTTGAAATAAGTTGAATATCTGTTGGAGGTTTATCTGTATTTTTTTCCCCGGACAGAACAATAGAATGCAGCCCATACTTGTAAAAAAAAATTGGGAGTTTCAGAAACTTTTTTCTTCTTAAAGCTCCTTCGAGTGCGAGGGGCACTTATATCAATAAGGATATACACAATAGCGTCATCCACAATGGAGATGTTGCATGTGCTAGGGATTTGCGATTTGACCATTGATTCTTATGTAAAAGTTCGCGAGAAACACGATGGTGCCACTGGTTTTCTCTGAAATCATCTCTCAAGCTCAAAAAAAGCTCTCAAAGTGAGGCTAAAATGGAGGGGATATCTCACACTACCCTAAGAGTCCACCTCTACATCAAAACAAACTCTCCATGCAAAGATAGGGAGCAAATACATGTACAGCCGGCTACAGAATCTATTGGAAATCTTACAGCCGGCTTCAGGTCTATGGTATTTTGGAACACACATTCTACTGCCAATTTTTACCAGGGTATTCTGAGATAATTTTTATGGCTGTAAATGCCGTCTGATATCGTGAGCGCTAGAAGTATGGTCAAACACGACCCACATGGGTGTGGGGCACAGGCACATACCGTCCGAGACTGCGGTTTACGCGATATTTTGGTGTTGCCAAATTCATATTTTTTTCAAATTTATGGACTTTTGGTCATTTTTTATCATTTTCGCTATCACTTGTCCCAGATGAATAAGTAAATGGTAGAAAAAATGAGCACTTGTAAATTTTTATGTTGTTGGCGTCAATGGCTGATATTGTCATAGGAACTTCAATTCCCTCTGCATTTTTTTTTAATTGCTCATAATTATTACCAAAGTTTCCATTTTTTATGACAATTTTTTTAAATACGATTAATGTGAATTGTTCTTTCTTCAATGAATATACCATTTTCCGCCGAAAAAAAATATGCAAAATCTCCAAACCTAAGATAATTAATTCAGTCAAATAAGAAAAAATACTATAAAAGTTATTATTATTTTATTTGTGTTTTCTTTTTGTTTCAGAATCTGACGTATTACACATGAGCAAACACTGAAAGAAAGAAGAAGAAAATGACAAAAAAGAAGGAATCCGCGAGCACCAGCTCAGAAAAAACGAGCAAATCCTCGAACGAAACGAAATCAACGACCGAATCAAAATCCAATGAATCTTCATCAAACCGCAAATCATCCCTTACGTCCAGGATTCTGGGCCCTTTCTCTCGAGCATCTTCCACTGCCAGTGTAGCCAGCCAGAAGGACTCCAAAAGTGCCACCGATCGGAAATTATCCTTAGTCAAAATCGAGTCAATTGACGACGACGATGATCTGGCCAACTTGACGGTGCCGAAGACGATCGAGTACACTGTCACCGAGCCAGCAACCCTTGTCGTCGAAAAAAAGGATACCAGCCAGAAAACAAAGTCCAAGAATGCCAAGACGAACAAGTCGGTCATCGAGTCTGTCAAGATGGTCGGCGGGAAGATCATCAAGACGACCAAAGCAATGCAGTTCACTTTCGCGCGGCCTGACGATGATGACAACGACGATGACGACTTCCAAGTAGAAATCACCGAGATCCCATCCGAAGAGCGTCGGGCCTCTGTGGGATCGACGCATTTTTCGGAGCGCAAAATGTCAGCCGATTTTTCCGCAGAATCAAAATCGAAAGTCTTCCAGTCCTCAAAATCCGACTCGCAGTCGAGTTTTTACTCCACTCATGACAGCAGCACCGCGGACGAGCAAAATGTACGGCTGGTCGGTGGGAAGCTGACGAAAACACCGTCAAAAGACTCTCAGTCGCAGTCTAATTCCAAAGTGGAGGGGTCTGACAGTCAGTTGACGAGGACTTCAAGTCACCGCCTAATCGAGAAGCAGTCCAGTCAAAAGTCGATCCACGAGTCGTCGCAGGAATCAGTCAAGGAGTCTAAAGCAACCACCGTCCAGAAGAGTGGCTCTCGCACGTACATAACAACCAAGACGACCATCGGACCGGACGGAAAGGAGCGAACCGAGACTGTGGTCAAGAAAGAGGAGTTGCCACCAGAATCGCAGACAACTTACTCGGAGAAGCAAGAATCTAAGAAAGCCGAAAATTTCTCGACTACCGGTCAATCAAATTTAAAGTTGACGACTGGTAGCGCCGATGATAAATCTTACTCGGCACGGCTCCGGGCCAGCCTCGAAGATGATACTTCAGGAACGTCGAAGAACTCCGAACTTTCCTCGGTGAAAATTGTGAAAACTGCCTCAGACTCGAGCTCAAAAACTTTCAAAACGGAGAAAGTTTTCGAGACGAGTGATTCCAGATCCTCTGTTTATTCCGACTCCCAGTCTTTCATCCAAAATGAAAAATCTGGAGTGACAGACAAGCTTAGCTCCTCGACTGACGCATCTAACAAGGGAGCGTCTTCTGACACTGCCATAAGAAGCAAAGATGATGTAAATTACTACACTTCCGGAACTTCCTATGTCACCACGACAACCACTGGCGCGAAACAGAGCCAGGATACTTCCGGTGTGAGACTGGTCGGAGGAAAAATAGTAAAGACAACCGAAAGCAAGGATTACTTCAATAAGAAAATTGGCGATGGTCTGGACAAAAAGTCCTCACGGTCCACCGAATCTCCGTCAAATGCTCTTTCCAACCAGTCTGATACTATGTCCTCCAGTAAGCTTGTGTCGTCAATCGATAAATCTGCCTCACACACGACTGATTCTCTCTCAAAAGTGACAGACAAAACCGAGAGCATGTCTTCTACTAAGCTTGTCTCGTCCGCAGACAAACAAAGCATCTATTCCACCAAGACAAACGTCTCCACAGATAAATTTGAAAACATCCCATCAAGTCAGCTTGTCTCATCTATTGACAAAACAGCCACTCACACGACTGATTTTCCTGGTAAGTCAACGGTGGACACGATGGATGGAGTATCCTCCAGTATACTTGTGTCATCCATCGACTCTCAATCTAAAAATATATCGGATAGGTCAGAAAGCTTTTCCACCAGTAAAGTTTCCTCCTCCAAGTCAGAAATAAAAACTTCCAAGGTAGATAGTTCCTCCACTGCGTATTCTTCTGATGTTTTCGACTTCTCCGACGAAAATCTAGTGTGTACATGTGATCTCGGCGCTACACATTCCACGAACGATTTCAGCCACAAGGATGAAATTAGTTCAACGAAATTTCTTAAATCTGAAAATTCGAAGACTTCTACAACCCAATTTGTGTCAGGAGTCCCGGTTGGATTTGATCCTGCCCCTCTCGATATTCCAAAATCTCCGAAGCAACCCAAATCCCCAACCACGAAACTTGTTGGCGGAAAACTTGTAAAACTTGGCGAGGACAAGGACTATTTTAACAAAAAGATAAGTGAGGGTGTCGAAAAGAAGGAGCTAAGAACAACAGACTCAAGTTCAAAATTCGACGTAGAGGAGACCTCCGTCACATATGTCACAGATAAATTCTCTTCAAAGCTATCTTCGAGCTCAATAGTTGACCAGCAGTCAAAAAGCTTTGACAAAGAAACTAATTCCTTTGGCACACGCCTCGTTGGTGGTAAGCTAGTAAAAGACTCTACTGACGCAACTTACTACAATCAAAAAATGACGGACGGATTCGAAAAGAAGATACAGGATAGCACCAGCACCGACAAATCATACACTAAGGATTCCACCTATACCGTCACTAGTGACTTTATTTCACGTGAATCAGAAAAACAGTTCGACCTTGGACGTAATGATGTAACTTACACATCCGAAAAAACAATTCCAAGAAGCAAAATCACCGATGACACTTACTCTCTGATCAAAACGCAAAACGGATCCATTCCAACCTCAACGACAGAGAAAACATATATTATCGATGCGTCCACAAACTCTCAAGAAGTCAAAATGGTCGGTGGAAAAATTGTCAAAAACGTTTCCGACAAGAATTATTATAATCAAAAGATAACTGATGGACTGAAAAAGAAGGATAGCGAAAAAACCAAGACTGATAGCACAACCTTTAAAACCCAGAAAGATATATCTAGTCATGACTTTGCAAAAACCGATTTCTCTTCTTCCAATACCTTTACAACTCAAAAGTTTGAGGTATCCGATATCAGTGATAAGCATGTTAGTGATAAAACGTACGTGAAAACGCTCTCTAAAGAGTTTCCGATTTCTGGTTCACCCCAGGGGCCAGTCGAGCCTGGGCTTACAGTTAAAATGGTCGGTGGAAAATTAGTGAAAACCTTCGTGACACCCGAACCTCAGCCGAAGAAAAAGCCAGGCAGAGAACCATCGCCAACCAAGTACTCGACCGACCAAACCTTCGCCGTTGAGTCTGAAACTATTTCATCTTATAAACAGAAAGAGTTGAAAAACGGCGATATTAAGAAGTTCCCGCGTACTGAAACAACGACCATTATCAAGAACATCGGTGATACAACAGATTATAACATCTCCACTGCAGAACTCAGATCCACGACTAAAGAGCAGGTCAGCAATTATACAAGCAAATACATCAGCGAATACGATCAAGGGAGACCTCGGGACACATCGCCGACGAAAGTCAGGAGAGACGACTCACCGTCCAAGTCCAAACCAAAAGATTACTCCCCTCTGAAGGCGCGAGATGTTTCGCCGACCAAATCAAAACCAAGAGATACATCTCCCACAAAATTAGGCAAAGACAAGTCCCCAATAAGGTCAGTCTCGCAAATAAGGCCTGACACAACGATCACGTCCAAGACCACTGATAAGAGGTCTGACTTTTCATTGGACCGCTCCGATACCACGGTAGTGTCCAGCAGCTTTGTCTCGGAGAACCTTTACATCAATGATTACAGGAGCACGGACTCTGTAAATCAGACGAAATTGGTGACGTCTACGCCGATCAAGCCAGGCCGGAAGGAGCCTTCTGACAAATCGCCCAAGGATGAAGGACCAAAGAAGCCTTCTGATAGGTCACCAACAACTACAAAACCGACTGTGGAGTCAACCAAATCCACCACTGAAATACCCGAAACAGGTCTGACCGTGAAAATGGTCGGTGGGAAACTAGTGAAGACTTTCGTGACTCCTGAGCCGGCTCCGAAGAAAAAGCCAGAGCGAGAGCCCTCTCCGACCAAGTCACCAAAACCGAAGCGTACCGATATGCTCGACAAACCTGAAACCTACTCACCGACCGCTATCCGCAAAGGAAGTTACACAATCACCTCGACCGGGGAGAAGGTGGGTGACCGGCCGGTGGCGCTCGTTCCGAGGGACTATGACGTCGTCGACCGAAGTTACACGTCGGCGTCGTCGGACACGTTCCAGGCGTCGACCAACTTCAAGACCGAGTCGCAAACTACGTACGCGACCAGCAAAGTCCTGAAGGAAAGCTTCGTCTACGATTCGCGCGGAAACGTCGTGAAGGTAACGAAGACCGAATCGGTGCAGGACTTGAAACCGGAGACCGTTTCGCGCACCTCCGTCACGTCGGACGTGAAGGCGACGCGGCTAGTGGACGAGCGCGTCGTTGACAATCGCGAGACGTCCGTCACGAAAACGGTTCGGGACGACCGGAAAACGATCGACAAGAAAACGGTTCGTGATGACAAGAAGACGGTGCGCGATGATAAGAAGACGACCAAAGTGACTGAGAAGACCGTCGTCAAGGAGCAGTGCATTTGCGAGATTTGCACATGTGGGTGAGTGATTTTTAACAATGTTTTTTTTCGGGTTTACACTGTATTAATCATCAATTTTTATAATTGTAATGAAAAGTCTTGCCTTACATGCTTGTCGATTGTTTTATATATATTATTTTCACCCGAAATGTACACCTACTAGACAAAAATATTTAAGACAATCAACAAACATGCAGGGCCGGATTAAGGGGGTGGCCACATGGGCCGCGGCCCATGGCGGCAAATCTATAGGGGGCGGCAAATTTTGCAATTTTTTTAAATGTAGGTATAAAAAAAAATTCGGATTTAGAAAAAAAATTACAAACGAGAAGAGGCGACAAAATCTCTGATTTTCTGAGAGTATAGTAATTTCCACTTTTGTCGTCTTTCAGCGATACAAGAGGCAGCACCTTTAATTAGTCGAGATAAGAGAGAAACCAAACACGCAATTTGGCCTTGAAAGGCGCAATTTAAAGAGAAATGATGACGAGGACTTGAGATGAAAAGGAGAAGCCCTCGGCGTGGCGATCGGCATGTAACACGTATTAGCGCCTACAAGACTGCACGAATACTTCACGCATTGCATCAAACACGGTGCGGTCATTGCGGACAGCGTGAAACGGATAGCGCCTACAAGAATGCATGAATACCTCACGCATTACGGCAAACTCAGTGCGATCAGCGGGAGACGCATAGTGCCTACAAGACTGCGAGAATACTTCATGCATTGCGTCAAACACAGTGCGGTCTGCGAGGCGCGGCGGCGGAAGTTAAAATCATTAATCCACATTTATGTTTGTTCATTCATAATTTTGTCGTTCATTTCTTATGAATTGAAGGCCTTGTCCACACAGAGATAGGTTCACGAAACTCGACTTTCGCGCAAAGTTCCGTGAACTTTTGCTAGTAGTGTTGACAGGGCTTTCCCAAAAATTTATTCAATTGTGTTTTTGAATGGCTTAACACAGAAGCGACTCGTGAATATTCATTCAAGGCAGTCACGTATATTTTGAAAATATCAGTAAAACAAACTAAAAATATAGTAAAGTAGCTAGGATAAAACGAATTGCTTATAAAAAAGTCACGTTTTTTATGGACCCATACATTCTAAATACCTATAACAGCTCAAAATTAGATTGGTGCCTTTGAGTTTCTTCATTTTTCGTCCGCGCACTTACATCATGTGAAATTATTCGAGTGAGGTAGTCCGTATTCTTCGAACCTAAAACTCAAAATTGATCCTTACGCGAAATATCTTTTTTAAATATTCTCACTCTTATTGTATTGATTTTGACCCGAATTTTGAAGGTCATTCATCAAAGTCTCTCATACAATCTGTATTTACGGTTAAACTCGACTTTAAATTTGAAGTGATGAGTGGTCAATTTGGAAAATTTTGACTCGGTTTTTCCTGAAAATTTTATAAATTATTGATGGCAGGCATTCTGAGTATCTAATTTCGAAAAGAGTTCAATTGAGAATACTTAACTTCACTCGTTTTTTGAGGTACAGTAAATGGACGTATTTCTGTCAGACGGAACTTTGTGAACTAAGACATGAGCTCTGAGACCCATAAGAATATGCATAGCAGGGCTCACGTCCTAATGCACATAGTTTCGTTTGATAGAAATACGTCCAAATATCCTGCACACGAGAATGATTGCACTGATACATTTCCGACAGAGACATGGTCCTGTATCTCCTTGTCACAAGATTATTGCATTCATTGTCGGTGTTCATGCTCCACATAAAACAAGCGTTGCTGCAATAAAACTTGCCTTCAGAGCACAGAGATCGCTAATCATTTGGGTACTGTAAAGACTACCTCCATCCATCCGATAAGAGTAAATACCTTTTGTTGGGAGCAAGTTCCAGTGAGGTCGTTAAATCGAACAGCTGTGATGTATTTCGTATATCTGCGTAAGTATTTTCTTGCCTACGCATTCGGTTCATTTCGATAGTGAACTTTCAATTGTACGTATTTATGCTAAAAAGAACTATGTGCATAGGGTTTGCGTGCGAAATAGTTCCATTCAGCATAAATACGTCCAATTGAAATGCGCCCACTCGATCTTATAACAACAAAAACTTGATGAAAGCGTGCTTAAAACTGCAAAGAGAAAAATAACTTTTAAGACGTACATGTTACGCCCCGTTGGCAATTAGAAGTACATCAAAATAAAAGTCAATACAATTTGTAATACAGTTTACGTAAATAAGGTTTACAATTATTTTTTTTACCAATTTATTTTAAGATTTTTTAATTAAAAATTCCCAAGTTTTTCTACAACCCGATAACCAAGTAAAGAAACCTGATGAACAGAAATTCATTTGATCGAGAAAGATGGATGAAACATACAGAAAAAGGATAACTTTCGGCGGTAATATTTATCGAAGTTTGTTCAGTTTGTTGTGAAGCTGAAATCTGTTGACCAATCACAGAGCGGCACTTTTTTTGTCGTGAAAGGATTGAGATGCCAATAATTTCTCTATACTCTGTTATTTGAGTGCTAAAACTAACAACTCTCGTGCATTTCTGATGAGGCGAAAAAAGCAAAAATGCTTTCAATTTTTGAACATGCAACACGCACATCCACGGAACACGAATAATTGCATCAAGACGCCACAGGCAACTTAGTCTATAGTCCTCGTAAAAAGAAAACGCCTCCAAATTTTTGAGTATGCAACACGGACTCCATGGTACTGAAAATGTAAGCAAAATGCTCATATATATGTATTAAAAACTTTTAAGAAAAACGAAGAAAAAACGAGTTGTAAAATTTATTACGAAACATGTAAATCGTTTTGTGACCTTTAGATTTCGTTTAAAATCTCGTGAATAATTCGTCACAAGTCGGTCAGTGGAGGAAATTTGTCGATTAGCGTATAAATTACATTTAAAATTAACGAATGTCGCTTTTCCCAGACTTTTGACCCGAGATGAATTCATTTTTTGAAGGGGGAAAAGGGTGACAATGTACAATTGCTGTAAAATAACTTAACTATACTTAGTAAATAGCCCGAAAATTAGTCTTATTAATCCAGATTTACGAATAAAAGCTGAAGTGTTCGATCAACGCCGGAGATTTTTGCATTCGTGGGTAGCTAATTCCCAAATGATATCCACTCCAAAGATTACACAATGGCCGAAAACCGCGAAATAGCTCCAAAAAGTCGAATTGGTTACCTCGATTATCCATGCAGTGTGGTGCGCTCGTAAAACATCGTGACCTTGGGCGGGTTTATTGCGCATTCACGGTTCAAAAATCTGATAGCACGTCGCGAGACGCGAGAAGAGGGGGTCGAGTTTTTTGGGTCCCATCATTAAGAAAAATGGGCGGGCGATAGGTGGGCCCCTCGAAGACCCCGTGTGCCGGTGTCCTTCATGCACCGTGAAAAATCGCGTGCGTCCTGCTGCTCCAGTTGCCAGACTGGATCAGTAACTAACAATCATGATAATTATTTCCACGTGGACACGGACAATGGAAGTTTGTTAGAATGGACATTTTTTCTGTGTTCGATTTTTACTCTTCTTTTTTTAATATTATCCATCCCTATTACACTGAAAAAAATCTCTGTGTATTTACTAAGAAATGGGTAAAATTACCAAGAATTCAGGGTTCTATTTGATCCCAGTTTTTTCTTGGTAAAATTACCATTTATGGAATTGGTAATTTTACCGAGAAATCTCGGTAAAATTGTTGAACTTTCTCGGTAATTTTACTAGACCTTGGTAAAAACGCCAATATTTTTTATCGACTGTGGTATAATTACCGAGATAAAACGGCAAAGTTACCGGGAATTGATTACCAATAAAAGTGGTATTCTTACCTAAAAAAACAGTAAAAATACCGGTTTTTAGGTAAGCTTACCAGTCTGTCTTGGTAAAATTACCAATAATAAGTAAAAAAGTGAGATGGTAAAGGTACCAACGGAATTTGGTAAAAATGCCGAGAATTTTTTTTCAGTGTATTATTCTTTCCCCGATTGTAAACCATGAACCTTCTTTGACAAGATTTAAAAATATGACTTAAAATAGCAGGGATATATTTGTGTGAATTTGATTTTACAAGGGTTTCTCATTTATCACTCAATCTCTATCTTTGACCAAAATAATTAGTTAGTTAGCTACTTTAATAGAACAATCAGCAACTATGGCTATTAACAGGTCTAGGGTCCATCAGGAGAATACATTGAATTTTGAGGTTAAGTTGCTTGAAAATTTTTACGTTTTCGGTGGTGACCCTTAGGTTATCAGACTTTATATGGCGAATGTTTGGATGGAGATGATTTTAAATTCAAAATAATTAGATTTACAGCGAAAGAGGGGCTATACTTAAAATACAAAACCTGGTAAGCGCCGCCTGGCACTTCTAAAACTGCAACTGTGTTCTTCTCACTAAACTGATATCTATAGTTACCAAAAAATAACTATTCTTGACGTAAAATTAAAATCAAAATTCATAGAAAATGTTCCATTGAACATGGGGAAAAATAGGACTTAGGATATTTTCTCCGTAGAAAGACCATAAGGCAAAGATATTTAGATCAAATTAAAAGAGGAGCGTCATGAATATCTTTAGCAACACTTGATAGCACTTATATTTTTAATTTTCTCGCTAAAGCGACTACCAGGTTCAACTGATAAGTAACACGATTGTAAAAATCTATTGCCTTTTCACTGGAATTTTGGGACATGCGACACAATTCGATAGTAAGCGTACGGTCTGTTTTTCTGTCACCAAAGAACTCAGTTAATTTCTCTTTTAATTGGGGCCATGTAGTGTACTCAAAATTACCAACCTGAATTTGAGCTTGCCCTTTAATTTTCGACAAAATACCGCGTAAAAGTCGCGAATTTTGAATGTGATTTGGCTCATCAGCAATGAAAAATGCAGTATGAAGCTGATCACAAGTTTTAATAAATTGGGGTAACAAGTTTGTTTCTCCCTTAAATTCTAATATGCTATTTATATCAGAATTTTTTAAATGGAAGGGGCCCTCACGGGTTCTCCTATCCAAGGCAGCATAGCCCTCTCGGAGATGCTGAATTTCAGCTAGCAATTGTTCCTGATTCATGATGACAAATTCTTCGTTCGGATCAGGATTTTGATTTGGGTCAGGATCATCGTTCTGGTTGGGTATGTTGAGAACAGCTGGTCTGAGAATAGACATTTAAAATTAATTTAGAAATCAGAATCGTAGCCCTCGTCACAGTTTTCCTTCAAGAAAATTAGAGCGCTGCGAAAATGACTAAAACGTTTCCAAAAGTTATTATGTCTTAACCCAAAAGTTATGCAAATTTTTTCTTTAATTATAATGCTTCTGCACTCAAAAAAAAAGAAAATGTCGAAGTAGCATTAACCGCAATGTTGAAATAACATCACAGAAATTATGTTGATATAGGCTGCACTCCCCGTAACCCAACATGGTTTGACTTAATTCTACATTTGCCGTCATGTTGCATCAACATGACCGAGAATGCTTCTACCTGTCATGTTGAATCAACATGACAGTAATATTCGAGTAACATTACGCATGTTAATTCAACCAAATTCATGTAAATTTAGCATTATGTCAGACTGAAACTGCATTACACATGTTGTTTTACCATTCCTTTGGTTGAAAGAACATTAACATTTTGTTGAATTAGCATATGCAGTGTTATGTTACCATTTGCTTTCATATTGTTTCAGGAGTACCGTGGTGCTCTTGAAACATCATCTACGTACTGAAAAGGGGGATGGCGTGTGTTTTTCCCCGAACAGCAAGTGCTGCGGAGGAAGCCTGGAACGGCACTTAAGCGGTCCAAGGAGGTTGAAATAACAAGAGAAGATGTACGGAAATGAACTGTATTGAGCCGTAACAGTCTGACGGAAGGAAACCGCTCGGTCGCGTGTGAGGTGTCGAGGATGTATTTTTCGACTGACTCTTGGCTGCAAAGGAAAGAGTTTCCAGAGCCTTTGTGATAGGTGAAAGTGGATGGGGCCCGCTGGGGAAAGTAGGTAATAGCCCGTGTCCAGGAGCGCGGGGGTTGGAAAGGGTGCCCCGCCTGGATGGATGACGCGGTAACCCCGAGAAACCTCGGTTCGCGACTGAACAGCGTGTTCTCCTCCTTTTCCTCCTCCTCATCTCCCTCCCCCTCCCTCCATCTCCCTCCCCCTCCCTCCATTCATGATTTCGTTTCATAAGCTAGACATCTAAGCCACCTGACTCGATAGTCTTGAAACTTAGACAAGATTGTCTACTCATGCGAGTAACGTTCAAATTAAAAATAGCGTACCTATTTTTTATTCAGAGAACTGGTACTATTACTCTTTTCAAACCATTCGTTGGTACATTCTGAAAAAGTCTCTTAAGAAGTACGTCCCAAAGTATTTACTTAAAAAAATTTCTGGATACCCAATTGATAAGGTAAAAACACAATTGAGACACGTTCGGAAACAAAATAAATCGACTCGAATAACGCTATTAACGCTCACCATGACAAATAAATGGTAATATGGTAATAATACTTACACATGAAACAAAAAGAATTACTTTTAAGTTGATGATAGTTTATTATTCTTCGTTCAAAAACATTTTCGCTCGTGTGGTTAAAGCTCTTAGAATCATACGTTTCTAATTATTTGATTATATTTTTTATTTTCAATGTTTGATTTATTTATCTTATTAATTATTAATTATTATCATGATATAAAATAAGAATAAAAATGACAATTGTAAACACTGAAGAAAGTGAACACCGTTGTTGGAGGAGAAAAAAATAGTTCGTGATAAATTATTAATTTTTATATGGTGCATAATGTAAATTCCTTTTCGTGAATAGTGAATGGAAAAAAAGAAAAACCTAACAATGTGATGCCGTATGCATTTCACACAACTTAGACGGCAAAAGAGGAAAAAGTAATTCAGTGGGATATGGAAACACTTAAAATTCGTCTTTTGAAACCACAAGCCCGAATGGCTCGGTTGGTAGAACACTCCGCTTGTAATAGGTAGGTCCCGCGTTCAAATCCCGAAAAAGTCGGAAAAATTTGATAGGTCGGATGGGATGATTCTGGGTTGAGAGTAGTATCGGAAGTATAACTACATTAAAATACGATTCAATTTTCATACAAATATCGTAATTTATTTTAATTTGTAGCATTTGACGTACTCGTATATCAACATGATTGTCATGTTAAATCAACATGATTGTCATGTTAAATCAACATGATTGTCATGTTAAATCAACACGACAGCATGTTAAGTCAACGTGACGACAGTCATGTTGATTTAACATGACGGCTATCATGTTTCTTCAACATTTTTTATTATGTTCTCGTAACATGCTGTAAGCTTGTACCCGTTTTTAAGACGCCCGTCATGCTGAATCAAGCTTGCTCAAGCTTAAAGTAACATTTTTTTTTTTGAGTGTGATGTCGCGATAAATACTGTCATCTAGGAACTGCAAAATTAGTTGAACGAACTCTTCACAAGAAAATTCAAATAAATTCAGTGGAGCGATCAACTCAATTAAACCACGCGTTATAGGTGCTGATTTATTCAACCAAGTTAAAGACATTTCCTTAGTCCATATTGGCTAAAAGGAAACGAAACATCTTTTGGATAATTCGTAGCTGAGCGAAAAATTCTCGGGGAGAACGTACTCGGGAATAGAATTCTTCCAGGTAGCTCTTTATCTCAATGCTGCGAATATCCTCGTACTCGTGAGTAAGGAAAAAATCCCACATTAAATGAGTGGCATCCGTCGGTGCCAGATTCTCAAAATCAGTCTGTTGCGCCAATACAGTAAGATCGCTTACGATTGGGCAAACAGTGTTCAGTAGCGTTAGCATGAAGAATTTTCACAAAGGAAAAAATAAACATTTTTATTTCCTAATAGAAGGCCTAGCAGTAAGGAATCACTTCTAGAAGTCAATAAATTCTTATATTTGGAGCCCTGCAATAAGGGATTTACTCACAAATAAAGAATAAAGAGAATCAAAAAAATTGTAGTTTCACTAACAAAAATATAAAATTGAGGATATCACAAAAGCAAAAGAGAGAGGGGGATGGTCAGAATATTATTATCATACCAAAATTTACTCACAAAAAAGCAGTGATGTACTTCATTTTTTCCTGATGAGAGGACAAGTGTGAAAATCTGCGTAGTCGGCTGTGTAGTCGCGGACTCGAAGACCAGAAGGAGTGCTGATAAGGCGGTCAATACGTTTGCCGAGAAGTCCGTTGTCGGCACTGTATGATTTCCAAGGGATGTCCTCCTCAGGTCTGTACGGGAGCACGACCCTTGCTATGGGAAGTCGTCGGAGAGGAAGCCGAAACCACAGGAAAGACCAGGGATGGTAGTTCTCAAGTCCTTTCTTGAAGACTGCAAAATCTCCTAGACGTTTGCAATTGTCGAAATACGCCCGGCAGCTGACAGGAATTCCTTCGTAGTTGAAAGCGAGCTTTTCAGCAATCCAGACGGTAACAGTATCTTCAGTTCGCGTAACTTCCACAGGCCAGTCTTGTCGGAAAGATGTGAGACTTTTGGTGATGAAAGTCAAAAGTTCTTTCTTTTCCCTGTCGTGCGTGTAAATGAAACGATAGGTGGTTAAAGATGGAACGGTCAAATCGGATCCGTATCTTGGAAAGAACTCCGGTTCTGACATAGAAAAGAACGAGGTTCGCAAAAGTGGGATCAACGCGATGTTGAAAGTCGCACTTAAATTATCCTAGCGACAAGCGCCAGTTAAGTTTGGGCTGGTTAAAGAGCGAAGTGGCAACTGCGCCAGAGCAATAATGCTCGAAACAAATAAATAAAGATCAATGTAACGAATACAAAGAGTTTATTTAATTCACAAGGGAGGGAACCGGGCCTAACGGGGGATCTCCGAACGAGAGACGACGATTGTCTTAGGCTCAGGTGACCGAGTTTTCATAATGACAAATGACCCGGGCCAATTTGCGTCATAGGCGCTGACAAAAGTTCGGGACTCAGCAGTATGTCCAAATAAGTGCAATTCGTAAGAGCAAAGTCCTAATTAGGTAACGCATCGCGACACTCTAGCGCGCGAGCGGATTCGGCTCGTGTCCGTGTTGCCGGACCTCGGTCTAAATGTTCAGAATATAACTTACATTTTGGGTTTGCCCATCCAGGGTGAAAAAAATTAAGGAACGTAATTTTGACGCAGATTATTCAGCGACCATGTAATTTAGAGCTAACTTTTACCACTTCCAAGTGAACTATAAAAATTTCGAGACGCCTATTTGCACGAAAAAAAAATGAAATTGCTGATTCAACAATTTTATTGTAAAAAAAAGTGTCCGACATGTTTCAATGTAGATTTTACAATGAGAAAATGCTAATTTAATCACCCCCGTGGTTTAACTAGCTTTTCGCTATTGTAAAATATACATTTGAAACATGTCGGACATATTTCTTAACAATTTAATCGCTAAATCAGCAATCCATTTTTTCTATGTGAATGTATCATGTGTATGTATCATGTGTACGTATCATGTGTATGTATCCTATGAATGTATTTTGAGAAATTATAACATGTCTTACAACAGCCGAAATCCACAAAATTATTTTACTTGCCTATTGCATCGCGCAGATGGAAAAGCTAATGTCGATTTCGTTTGACATTTTTGCAGTGGTGAATGCATAGCTAAAGTGCGCTCCAGCTAGAATTGCATTTAGCAAATGGGTGGTTCTTATACAAGGATTAAAAATAAACAAGTGGTACAGAATAAAACAAAATAATATGAACTGTGCAAAACGATTATCCGGATATCGGAACTTGGCCGTTTTGAAAACGCCTTCAAATGCGGTGTGATACCTCACGCATTCCGGAGAGTTCAAATAATTGTATCATCGCGCCTTAAGAATGCGACGGAAAATTTAAATGGAAATAGCCTCCATGCACGCTGGCCTTATCGATTTCGTTTGACATTTTTGCAGTGGTGAATGCATAGGTAAAGTGCGCTCCAGCTAGAATTTTATTTAGCAAATGGGTGGTTTTTATACAAGGATTAAAAATAAACAAGTGGTACGGAATAAAACAAAATAATATGAACTGTGCAAAACGATTATCCGGATATCGGAACTTGGCTATTTTGAAAACGCCTTCAAATACGGCGTGATACCTCACGCATTCCGGAGAGTTCAAATAGTTGTATCATTGCGCCTTAAGAATGTGACGGAAAATTAAAATGGAAATAGCCTCCATGCACGCTGGCCTTAAATAAAGTCCTAAGAAATTTCCTTTCCTTTGCTGTTTCAGACGACACACATGCACTCACGAGCCGGAGAACACAGGCCCGCCTCTGGACTGGAAGCCAGAGCCGGTGCCGAAAACCTCGCTGAAAAACGAGGCCTTCCACCCGTTCAAGCCCAACGAAGTGGAACGGCCCAAAATCCAGCGCCTCAATACAGAGCTGGAGCTGCCTCAGGGGGAAATCGACCAAACTACAAACTACAAGAAGGACTACCCCGAGAAGCATGCAGAACGTCAACCAAGGTAAATGTCCATAAAATTAAAGCAAAAACGCCCCTCCTCTCTCAAGAAAGCCGATTATTATTCCGTTCATACAAAATCGTTCGAAATTTTGCAATGGAAATTCCTAAAAATAGCGCCAAGTATATCTCCAGTTACAAAAATTCAAAATATTTGAAAGTGCTTCCTACATGTAAAGCACGGAAATTATAGTAAAAACATCCCTTTAACCTCCGTCGATAATAAGCAATAACGCTCATAATATTTCAGTGTTCATTAATTGTTCGATCAAGATAAGGACCAATAAGAACGAGAGGACTGCTTGTCAATCTCTCAAGAAACAAGCGTGGGATCTATTTTTGTCTTCTTCAACGAATGAAAATTAACGTTGCTCGATTCATTTTCTGTATGTGGAACCTCTACCGGAGCTCCGGGTCTTGTTTGCCTTCAATTCGACAGATAGGCAAAAAAAACTTCTTCCCGTTAAAAAAGTTGTATTCTCAAAGATGAGCCTGTGTTTGTTACGTTTTCATGGACATGAAGAGAATGGCTGCCATGAGTGGGCCGTGATTGCATACACAGCGAGCTTAGGGGGCCTATATTCTTACCAAACAGGCACAGCTTCTTGCACTAGAAAATTGGTGGTTTATATTGGCCCTTTGAACTCTTATGTTACAGGCAGATGTGAAGTTTTGTGGTATTAAGATATACACTTAATGTTGTGAAAATAATGTTTTTTCTTCTTTTTTGCAGATATCACATGGAGGACCATCTCCATTTGGAGGGAGAATACAAAGTCACGCGGAAACAGGAATACACAGCGACAAAGGGTGAGAGAGCACCAGTTCGTAAACCAGAGGATAATTTACGACCTGAGGGTGAGTTCGAACGCCCGAAACCTGAGAAATTTGGACCAGCAGAACGACCCAAACCATTTAAGCCTTCAGACAACTTAAAGCCTGAAGGGGAGTTTGAACGTCCTAAACCTGAAAAAGTAGGACCAGGGGAGAGGGCTCCAATTGTTAAACATCCGGATAACCTCTGGCCAGAAGGAGACTTCCAGCGGCCTGAGAAAGATCAATTTAAACCCGCTGAAAGGCCAAAACAAGTGAGGCCTTCGGACAACTTGAAACCTGAGGGTGACTTCGATCGTCCAGAGAAGGAAAAGTTCCGTCCCGCTGAAAGGCCGAAGCAAGTGAAACCATCTGACAACTTGAAACCTGAGGGTGACTTCGATCGTCCAGAGAAGGATAAATTCCGGCCTGCTGAAAGACCGAAGCAAGTGAAGCCAACAGACAACTTGAAGCCTGAGGGTGAATTTGAAAGACCTAAACCTGAGACATTGGGCCCTGCAGAAAGGCCCAAACCAATAAAACCAACTGACAATCTAAAACCCGAAGGAGACTTTGAACGACCTGGAAAAGATCAGTTCAAACCAGCTGAAAGGCCAAAACAAGTCAAGCCGACGGATAACTTAAAGCCTGAGGGTGAGTTTGATCGGCCGGTAAAAGAAACTGCGCCCAAAAAAGGAGAGCGGGCTCCAGTCAAACGCCCGGAAGACAACTTGAAACCCGAAGGAGAATTTTATGGAGAAAGAGTTGTAACGAAAGTGGTCAAGGGTGAAAGAGCTGAAATAAAACATCATGAGGATCATCTGAAAACGGAGGGTGAATTTTATGGTAAGTCACATGAAATTTTACTATCAGTTTAAAACTCAGCCGAGTCCCCTACAGATAGTTAAGGGTGGGAATTGGCGAGAACAATCAAGTCTTGCACTCATAATTCATAACTCTCAATTACGATGCAGCTTTTAATCCTTTTTTTGTGAGGTTTTTTCCGAGAATTGACGAAAATAGATATGGAGGGCTTGGAAGACAAGGTGCATAAGCACACTTTTTTCTATTTCAAGAAATACGTGTTCAAAGTTTCAAAATTGCATGGAGCCTGGAGCCATAGGCGGAAAAAAATCACACTTACTTTTTAATGTTTAATAGTTGGATTTTAGTAGTAAATGTTTCTCAAAATATACATCAAGACTAGTTTCAGCTGACGTCATTAAAGTCTCATTTTTTTCAAAGACCGCACTAATGCACCATGTCCTACACTGAGAAAAAACTATGGCTTATAAACCTATTAGAGGTAAATATGGAACACCACTAATAGTAGTACCTCTACATATAATAATAGCACATATACCTTAGTTATGGTCTCTGTACCTTAATTAGGTACAGAGACCTTAGTATGGTTCACAGACCGAGAATCATTAGTTTATTTACGACTATTATAGGTGTTCCATATTTACCACTAATAGGTTTATAAACCATAGCTTTTTCTCAGTGTACAAACCGTTCATATGAGGCTGATGGCAGAAGCTCCATGAGTTAGGCAAAATTTTCGCAACACCTCTAACTTGCTTTTTTTACAATTATCAGTTTTTGATCCGCTGAAATAAATTCATTTTTTCCCTTTTTTTATGACACATTTGCACAAGTGTGGGATCCTGAGAATACTAAACAGTCAAATCACTTAAAAAAAAGTACCATACATTGACGAATTGTAAAAGATACTGTGCGAGTACAAGATACTGTCGAGTAAAAGATACTGTGCAAATGAGTTCATTAACTGAAGACGAGGTGTTATACCTACTTAAGAGACACTTTTGCTTTCAGGTATCACCACGAAACAAATAGAATTCACGGGTGAGCCTGGGGAGAGACCTAATATGATTCGTAGGAATACTTGGACAAAACTAGAGGGCGACATGGAGATCGAGACGACGAACAAAAGCGAATTCAAGAAATTCGACACAACAAGGACCACCATCATCAGAAGGCACACGGATAATCTCACCGTTGGCGAAGGAACAATTCAGGTACCTGGGACAGATAAGCAAAAAACTTTATTTGTATTTTGACTTCTTCATCGCTAAGTTACGGTGCGAAATACCTAGTGTAATATGAAGTCAGGGGAAAGTGTGACTCTATTTCTAATTATAGTTCGTCGCCTATTGATAAAAAGAGACTATGGGCCTCAAAGTGTGGCCTGCCACAGGTTATTATAATGTACAGCTTATCATCATACCGATAAAGATTCAGAAGAAGTGGAAACTTACAATTGAGGACACCGCACCAAGAACAGCCTATAGGCGTATAGGTCGTTATTACGCCCATCTGCTTTTCGGATTCTACGTACCCTGGACTATGCTGTGGTAGCGATAGAATATAGATAGGTAACGGCTCGAGGTCGAAAAACCTTTTTTTTTCCGAGTTAAGTCAGGCCTCTGGATCGATGGGTGCAAGAACGACCTATAAACGGGCCTATAAGGTGCTAGGTACCGGTACCCCTTCCTAAACTAACTATCGATGTTCTTTCATTTTGCGTTAATCATAAGTGATTAAAATGATTTATACTTCATATTGCCACCAAAATGACTGTTGGGCGTAATAATGGCCTATAAACCGCTTTTGTAAATTAAATAAATGAGAGTATAAACCCAAAATGTATTGCAAAATCTACCCGGCATCCTTCAATAGAAGGGTTAGGTCACCCAAAAACACCGGAACAGGCGGTGCCGGACACGGGAGCTGTCAGCAATAGATTTCGGGTGCACTGCAGATTGCAAAACGACGGGTGGCGCGACTGCGGATTGCACAGGAGTTAGGGCGCTCGTATGATGTAAACAAACTTTGGCCGCAGGATTGAAGAATTGAATCTCCAAATTGAATCGGACATCTGAGGAACTAACGAACAGCTTGTGGGCTGTAAAAATTGACGACCTGTAATACAGATGGACAAGATTCTAAAAACTCTCTGACTTTTAAAAAATTCCCAGCCCAATAAAACAAATGATAATAGAAACGACGCCATTCAGTTTTATCAAGCGATTGATAGACGTCTAAACACCTTGGAGCGTCTTGTTACAGCTCAAGCGGAGCAAATCTCCTCCCTACTCTCCACTATTAGCACATTACTGCAGTCCCAAAATAGTATGGAGGTGGGAAACTAAGTAGTTAAACCACACTCCGAGTGGGTTGGCGGGGTGGGTCGGGGGGCCGGGGGTCTCTCTGCCGGGTCAATCAATCAGTTGTAAGAGGAGCTGCTATTGAAGTGCCAATCAGAGCTAACCATGCCAAGGCCATTCTCTCCCATTCTGATTGTTTGCCCTTACGGCGGGGTGGCCCCCGGCCCTCCGCCCCTCCCCGCGCGCCTGCCCACGAGGAACAATCTTACTCTTTATCATTAAACAAATGGCTGGGGTATTACATACCCCAGACCAATATGATAAGGACATAACCTTATCATCCGTTTCTTTCTTTAGTTATACCATTTATATTCAATTTAATCCACGTCAATGGATACCTTTGTAATTGTTTAGGTAGTAGTGACATTGCTTGTATTTCTATACAATAAACTTTAATAAAAAAAAAACTTTTAAAAAGAGGTGGCGGGGGATTCAAAACAAGTTGATGCTGTACATGCTAGAGTTCCTTTATACTGAGAGTCAAGACAACACCCCTCATGGAGTCACAAACGGGAATAAAGATTACAGAAATTGAACGTTTTTCGTAATCTTTGATCGGCCCATTCTCGAATTCCTTTCTTCGTACCTTCCCTCATTCCGTTTGTTCCTTGCCGAACCCGTAATTCCCCGGTCCATTCCAGATTATAATCTTTGCAATCGGTGAAACTGTAATCTTTATTCCCGTTTGTGACACTGTGGAGGCCTAAAATACGGGAACCAATCAGAAATGGATTCACATTGTCTTGACTCTCAGTATAAAGGGACTCTAGTACATGCTAAAGTAGGTATTATATATGAAGCGGAAAATTTATTAAAAATTAGAAATTTAGAAAATATTGACTCATCAAAAACTAATTAGCAACAAACGTATATACATGAATTATGGTTAACGTCACCATCAACTGGTACCCTGGATGTGACCCCAAAATGCCATTATCAAGACGTCATCAAAGGATGACTCCATGATGTCGTCACCTTCCAGGCAAAGTATCACAAGCGCCATGCGACGTTTAAAAATTTCCGCCGCCATTATATTTTTTTACAGAGAAATTGTTCAACGAAGCTGTCCGAAAATTACACCGAATTTTCTTTGTGCTGCCGATAAAATTTAGTGAAATTTTCGAACAGATTCAACCAACAATTTCTCAGTAAAAAAATAAAATGGCGGCGGAAATTTTTATACGTCGCATGGCGCTTGTGATACTTTGCCTGGAAGGTGACGATGTCATCAACGAGACTCGTTTCCATCGACGTCATCGACAGGTGCCTCCATGACGTCATCAACTGATGAGTCTATGGCGTTCTTGATGGGTGTCCCGATGACGTGATCGGGGGGGGGGGGATTGCCGGTAGATATACAGAATTGCTAAAAGAAATTTCATCGAATGAAATTTCTTGAAATTTCTTTTTTCCCATGAAATTTCTTTTTTCCCCATGAAATTTCTTGAAATTTCCTAATGAAATTTATTTTTTTAATATTTCATGAAATTTCTTAACTCTGGTCCCAGGGGTACAAGTACCATACTTGGTACTGGGAAAAATATTGATTAACTCAATATTTTTCCCAACTTCGTAAGTGGAATTTAACCATGGGACAAATCTCGTGAAACGGCCCGTGGAGACAAGGCCTAAAGAAAAAAGTAAAAACATTTAGAGCGAAAAGAATCACTCTCAAAAATGGGCAACCACTGTTTGACCAGTTATTCCGATTAATCAGACCACTGCCCCTTCTTTTATATCGACACAATTCCCCCTTACCTGCACTTCTCTGTAATGTACCGTTAAGAAAAGGCAGCTTTCGGCCCGCAGTCCGGACAAGAAAACTTCGAAAAGTCAAAGTTCTAAAATGAGCCACACGCTTCATATAGGTATTGTTCATGTTCTCGCGGAGCGCCCTAACTCCTGTGCAATCCGCAGTCGCGCCACCACCGTCGTTTCGCAATCTGCACCCGAAATCTATTGCTGACAGCTCCCGTGTCCGGCACCGCAAAACGGGGTACTTGCATAGAAAAGTCTGCACAGTACATCAAAAACAAAACTTTAAATGCGTTTTTCTCAAAACGTGGTTTCCAGTTATAGGCTGTTCTTGTTGCGGTGTCTTCAATTAGTATCAAAATATACTAGAGACTCTAAATACAGGGTGTTTCAGACCACCCGTACCAGGCCTTTTTCTCGGTTGGTATACGTCGTAGGAAGTCGGAGACCGCTGGGATGAATAGGGAATTGACCCCAAGGAATCCGAATTTCGTGATGTCGGATTCCGTCATGGACGTCAGGAGCTCAGGGAACATGAAATTAAGAGTCCTCGGGGTCAATTACATGGGAAATCGTCTTTTTCTGGAGAATCGACGTCAATTTTGCGACCAAAGAGGAATCTTGAGAAATTTTTGGCAGGGGCGAAGCCCCCCTCCTCAGGGAGTTACTTTCTGCCGTTCAGGGGGTCTATTAGAACTCTTAGGAGTCACTTAAGATGTAAATGTGTTTTGCTCCTCAATTTGGATGCAATCAATTTGCGATTCGGAAAGGAGCCCCGATTTTTAAAATTGGGCCCCCCCGTTTACCCCCCAAGGGGGGCTAGAGGAGCTTCGGGACCATGAAATTTGGATTTCTCGTGGTCGATTACCTGGGAAACTGTCTTTTTCTGGAGAATCTACGTCAATTTTGAGACCAAAGAGAAATTTTGGAGGAGGGTACTGCCCCCCTCTTTAGGGGGTCGTTTTTGGGCCTTGGATGGTCCGATTTTGGATTTTTAGGGGTCAATTCCACGTGAAATTTTCCGTGCTTATCAATTCTGATGCGATCTATCTGCAATTCGGTCGGAAACAGTGACTTTTAGCATCGTGACCCCCCCTTTACCCCCCAAGGGGGAGTGGGGGGGGTTTCGGGCCCACGAAATTCGGATTCCTTGGGGTCAATTCCCTATTCATCCCAGCGGTCTCCGACTTCCTACGACGTATACCAACCGAGAAAAAGGCCTGGTACGGGTGGTCTGAAACACCCTGTATTATAGGTCATTAGGACAATGAAAATGAAAACAGTTTTTTGCCTGCAGATAACAGCAGATTTTGTAGCAATCGCAATTTGCAGTGCAGTTCACGCATTTTTTTCCTTTTAATTCAGTTACTTCCAAAGTATACATGATTATATTGCTGATAATTCATTCTTTCATTACAGATTACCTCCCAGAACCGCGAGGATTATCCCGAGAGAAGAGTTGTAAAACCAGAAAAACCTAAAAAACGGCCAGACAATCTCAAGCCAGATGGAGGTGAATTCTACAGTGAAACCAGCTCTATGCAAGCGTTCCAAGGACAGACTGTGACATCGAGGGTAGAAATTACACGACACAAAGATAACCTAACGAGTGAGGGTGATATTACGTTTATCACATCTAGTCAAACAGACTACACGGAGAAATTACCAGAAAGAGAGACACCTAAACGTCGCCGCACGTGGACCAAACAAGACGGAGAAAGGTACTTTGAGACGACGCACACTCAAGAATTTAAAACGTACGAGAATATCACTGACGTTAGGCAAACACAAAAACGACACCACGACAACTTAAAACCAGAGGGACCTTTCGAAGGAACTCCTCGTTCTAAGGATGACTTTAAACCCGTGACAGCTGAGCGGCCTGTGCAAAAGAAGCCTCGAGATAACTTAAAACCTGAGGGTGACTTCCAGCGTCCTGAAAAAGAAAAATTCAAGCCTGCAGAGCGCCCAAAACAAGTAAAGCCAACTGACAACCTCAAACCGGAAGGTGAAATCCAAAGACCAAGGAAAGAAGAGTTCAAACCATCGGAACGACCAAAACCTGTGAAACCCAGTGATAATCTGAAGCCTGAGGGTGATTTTGAGCGTCCAGAAAAAGACAAATTCAAGCCAGCTGAGAGACCAAAACAGGTCAAACCTACGGATAATTTGAAACCTGAAGGAGATTTTGAGCGACCTGAAAAAGGACAGTTTAGACCTGCAGAGAGACCAAAGCAAGTAAAGCCCACAGACAATTTGAAACCGGAAGGTGATTTCCAAAGGCCTGAAAAAGATCAGTTCCGACCTGCAGAGAGACCAAAACAAAAAAAGCCCACTGACAATTTGAGACCTGAGGGTGATTTTGAACGTCCGGAAAAAGATAAGTTCAGACCGGCTGAAAGACCGAAGCAGGTAAAACCCACAGACAATCTGAAACCTGAAGGAGACTTCGAGCGACCTGAGAGGGAGCAGTTTAGACCCGCAGAAAGACCGAAACAAGTTAAACCCACTGACAATTTAAAACCTGAGGGTGATTTTGAAAGACCTGAAAAAGATACGTTTAAGCCTGTTGAGAGGCCCTCACCGGTCAAACCTACCGACAACTTGAAACCCGAAGGTGACTTCCAACGCCCTGAAAAAGACCAAATCAGACCCGCAGAAAGACCAAAGCAAGTTAAACCATCTGATAACTTGAAACCTGAAGGTGATTTCGAGAGACCAGAAAAAGACCAATTTAGACCTGCCGAAAGACCGAAGCAAGTCAAACCCTCTGATAATTTGAAACCTGAGGGCGATTTTGAGAGACCGGAAAAAGACCACTTTAGACCTGCCGAAAGGCCTGTTCCAGTAAAACCGTCCGACAATTTGAAGCCGGAAGGTGACTTTGAGAGACCGGAAAAACGACAGTTTAAACCCGCAGAAAGACCAAAACAGGTTAAGCCCACGGATAATTTGAAACCCGAGGGTGACTTTGAACGGCCTGAGAAAGATAAGTTCAAACCTGCCGAAAGACCAACTCCAGTTAAACCAAGTGATAATTTGAGACCTGAAGGTGACTTCCAGCGTCCTGAAAAAGAGCAGTTCACACCTGCTGAAAGGCCAAAACAGGTAAAACCATCTGACAATTTGAAGCCAGAGGGTGAATTTGAGAGGCCCGAAAAAGATCACTTTAAGCCTGCTGAGAGACCGAAGCAAATGAAACCGTCTGATAATTTAAAACCCGAGGGAGATTTTGAGAGACCTGAAAGAGAGCAATTCAAACCTGTTGAAAGACCCAAAGCTGTCAAACCATCTGATAATCTAAAGCCTGAGGGTGATTTTGATCGTCCTGTAAAGGGACAATTTACTCCAGCGGAGAGACCAAAACAGGTGAAGCCAAGTGACAATCTGCGCCCTGAAGGGGAATTTGAACGTCCTGAAAGGGACCAGTTCAAATCAGCGGAAAGACCAAAGCAGGTCAAACCCACAGACAATCTAAAGCCCGAGGGTGAATTTGATAGGCCAGAAAAAGCACCATTCACTCCAGGTGAACGACCAAAAGCAGTCAAACCTTGTGATAATTTGTATCCGGAAGGAGATTTTGAAAGGCCCGAAAAACCGGTTGTTGGCCCCGGTGAAAGGGCTCCGATTGTTCGTCATCCTGATAACCTATTCCCTGAAGGTGATTTTGAGCAAACACCAAAAGACAAAGTAATTCCAAAAGGTGAACGAGCACCAGTTGTAAAACCAAAAGATAATCTGTACCCCGAGGGTGAGTTTGAAAAACGTCCAACGAACGACTTCCTCCCCGAAAAGGGTGAACGGGCCCCTATTGTTATTCCGCAGGACAACTTGAAACCTGAAGGAGAGTTTGAGGGCAGACCAAAGCCCAAGGAAGGACCAACGTATGGTGAACGAGCTCCTGTGGTAAAGCCGAAGGATAACCTTTATCCGGAGGGTAAATTTGTCCGACCCGAACCGGAATATGCTCCAACTCATGGAGAGAGAGCACCGACAAAGAAATATCCCGACAATCTGAAACCTGAAGGAGATATTGACTTCCCGATCAGAGAGGCCCCAACACCGACCAAAGGAGATCGAGCACCAGTGAAGAAGCCTAAGGATAATCTGTATCCAGAAGGTGAATTCCAAAAGCGACCAAAAGGAGAACTCCCTCGAGGTGAACGAGCACCGGTTGTGAAACCAAAAGACAATCTTTGGCCTGAGGGAGAGTTTGAAAAACGACCAACGAATGACTTCCCACCTAAAAAGGGGGAAAGAGCCCCGATTGTCATACCAAAAGACAATTTGAAACCAGAGGGTGAATTTGAAGGTCGACCGAAACCAAAAGACGAACCTATCTACGGAGAAAGAGCTCCAGTTGTAAAGCCAAAGGACAACTTATATCCAGAAGGCAAATTCGTTCGACCAGAACCAGAATACGCTCCAACTCATGGAGAACGAGCACCCACGAAAAAATACCCTGATAATTTGAAACCCGAAGGTGATATTGATTTCCCAATGCGAGAAGCTCCAAAACCAACGAAAGGCGACCGGGCACCAGTGAAAAAGCCGAAAGATAATTTATATCCAGAAGGAGAGTTTCAGAAGCGACCAAAAGAGGAACTTCCAAGAGGTGAAAGAGCACCAGTGGTCAAACCGAAAGATAATCTTTGGCCAGAGGGCGAATTTGAAAGGCCCCCTCTGCCAGAATACTCATCTGTTAAGAGACCTGAACCATTCAAACCTTCAGATAATCTTAAACCTGAGGGTGAATTTGAAAGACCGCAGCCAAAGAAGGTTGGTCCTGGTGAACGAGCTGACATCATTAAACATCCAGATAACTTAAAACCCGAGGGAGAGTTTATTGGCAGACCAAAACAAGAACCCGTGCCGACATATGGTGAAAGAGCTCCAGTGGTAAAACCTAAAGATAATCTTTACCCTGAGGGTGATTTTGTTCGACCAGAGCCAGAAATTACGCCAACTAAAGGTGACCGAGCCCCTACCAAAAGGCATCCTGATAATTTGAAACCTGAGGGAGAATTTACTGGAAGACCGAAGGACGATTTTAAACCAACCAAAGGAGAGCGGGCGCCCACGAAAAAACCACAAGACAATCTATTCCCAGAGGGTGACTTTGAACGGCCCGAACCAGTGAAATATGGACCCGGAGAGCGGCCAAAACCAGTGAAGCCATCAGATAATCTCAAACCTGAGGGCGATTTTGAGAGACCAGTGAAAGAAGCATTCAAACCAGCAATCGCACACAAAGAAACCAATAACACAACACATCCAAGAATCGAACGGAGAAACACATATACAGCGTCGGATAAAGAACAAACTAACCAAACCTCCATCAACAAAGTTCACTCCGATAGTCAGACTAGACTCAATGGATCCGTTCATGAGATTACAAGAACTGCTCAATCGCAGGTGAACGAGAAACATCAAGTACACCACGCAACAAGGTCAGAAGTTTCAAGAAAGGTGGAACAAAGCCGACAACACCACGAAACTCGCTCATCTCATACAGACCTCTCCCAGACACGTCAACACCATGAAACGCGCGCATCGCATACGGATCTGTCTAAATCTCTACAACAAACTAGAGAACATCACGAGACCAAAAATATGCAACAAATCCAAAGTCACCGCGAAGTCCATCCTACGCCACACACATGTCCGGTACATCGACACCACGAAACACACGCGCAAAGCTCCAGAACGGAAAGTTCTCAGAGTATGACCTCAGAGCATCACGTGAAACAGCAACATACGGGACAACAAATATTGAGAAGTGAGACAACTACTAGACAAATCCAATCACAGCCTCGTAGGTCAGATTCAACATGGAGCGTGCAATCATCTCAATCCAATGGTTTACGATCTTCCCATGGATCGTCATCTAACATTTATTCTAGCTCTCAAATAGCGCAAACTCTAAAGCAAGACAACTCAACTAGTCAAAAAGCTCTTTCATCCGTCAGAACATCCGGACAGACCTACGTAAGTTCTCGAGAGCAAAGAGCTCAATCAATGGAATCGACCGTGCAGTCACAGAAGCATAGTCAAATGTATTCGAGCACCAGCAAATCGATACTGAATCTTTCTGGAGGATCTGAAACTAGAAACTATGTCAGACCAAGCAATGACGAACATCAACACCATCGGAAAAATGTGATCAGCAACACCTCAGCGGACGTTCAAAATTCTCTACTCACCCGAAGATCCGATGTTAAATCGGCAGAGGCATTGCATACAATATCATCTGCTGCTGTTGAGCAACGCCGAAGTGTCTTGAATTTGGACAACCAGTTTACAGGACAAGTTAAATCAAGTGATAGACAAAGTCTGAGTTCTATGCATAAGCAAGAGAAAGGAGATCTTACGACGAGGAAATCAAGCAATTTAAACATAGGTACGACCGGTCGATTCCAAGGACAAACTGAGTCTAAAGGATACGGAAATTTCACCGCGACCGAACGCGTAACGCGAGTTAAACAGGCCAACACCTCTCATTTCACGATAGGAGAGGAATACTCTCGTCAAGATAGTGGAGTCACCCAGTATAGAAAAGAGTTCCTACCCAAAGTCCAGAAACCGTGCCCAGTACCTTTGATTACTAAGACTGAAACTGAGTACAGACATACGAGAGATACTAAAGCTCACAAGTATTACATGCCAAAAAAAGTATCGACTTCTCTACCCTTTGGACATGTCTCCTTTAGCATGAAAACGTTTTAGGGAGTGTAAATAAAAAATAACAATAATTCGATAGCTCCGTTGCCGGGCCCTATAAATTTTAAGACGATTTGCTTGTGCGTTTTTCAACCTCCACTATTCTGTATTACTATGATTTTCAAATGTCCGTCTAAAATTATTTTGCAATATGGATCATTATGCCTAGTCTTTGATCCTGCCTTTTGTATGTTAACATGTAATTCATTGTCTTATTTTGATTGAGAAAATATTATTTTTAATGATTATTGTTATTAATTGTATAAGAGTTTTATAAGTATATTGATCGACTGTGATTATAATTTACATCATGATAGCCTCTCATTTCAGAGGATTCTCGGGCAGAAAATCCTGTCCCAGTAATATTTTTTTTACTGTCACACTAGTTTGGAGGTGATCATATAAAATGACATGTGATTGCTTCGACCTATCTTCCCCTCTCCGTCTATCTTCAAACTACGACTATCTTATGCACTACATGGTTACGTAGGCATACTTGTCAGCCTGCCTCTTTAAGTTCATGTTATATTTTGCCTGTAGATTTTTCCGTCCTTACCTAACTTCAAAAACCGACCCGTTTTCGTCACATGAAGCGTGTTAAGTAAGTAATTTCCAATATGATACCTAGATGAAGTTACCTTTCGGACAGTAAACGTACTTGTAAGCTTAATTGATGTATGCTATTTTCCACCCTAGACCTTTTCATATTTTAACTGAATCTATTCCTAATTTCCTCCTGAAATGTAAATATATGGATAATTTAAATATGTAGATCCAGGGGAATCATTACGCAATAATTAGAATTACATTAAACGTGGAAATGACCTCTTCATCTTACTAATCATAGAACGCAATGTCACTCAATGATTCTATAATTTTCGCATTGGCTGTGATTATTAACCATTCACAATGATTAGAAGATGCAGCAAATCCCATTATGCTTAGGCAATAAAAGAGAAAACTACAAAAAAAAACAAAATATTAAAAATATAGTAAGTCGTATGATTAATAGCATTTCTTTTCTGAAAAAGGTCAAACTGAGTTTTGCCTCCTGCTTCAGAGTTATTTTTTTGTAATACGCTTCCTAAAAATTTATTCAGCTTTTGCAAGAATCTTAAGTAGGTATAAGTAAAATGTGTCTTGTTAATTTATTATATCACCAAGTAAATATTAATTTTTAACAGATAATTGTATTTATGCAAAGGGTAGTGACTTACGTACGGAACTTATTCCATCTGTCCATGCAGAAAAATACCAATGGCAGACAAATTTCAAATTTATTTGAAGAATTCTCGAGTAAAGAATATATTCTTGACAGATCCTGCCATTATACAATCTTTTGACGAAGGGAATCCAAAAGTCGTAAATGATTTCTTGAGTTTGTCATCTTAAAATTTTTATTGAACAGTTATGTTTTTTTTTGTTATAAAATATAAAAAATGTTAAGTAAAAGCATTGCTATCATTAGTCAGGTTAAATAGAGCTTAAATATTAAAAACATGTTGCCATTTTTTTGTTATTAAATACTATTGAGTTAGTGTTCAAATTGAGAACTAGGCTCACGCATAAGAAAAGTTATACAGTTTATAATGAAATTTGTTCATGGATCAAATCACGAAAGTAATACTAATCATGTAAAGACTATTGTTAGTTATTATTTAGGAATTAAGTGATGTAGCATGAATACGTAGTAGATGTAATGGATGTGATTATGAAACTTCATTCAAACCTAATTATTTTCAATTCTCCGTCTAAGAAGAGCTGGGTCTTTTCCTAGGCAAGGGGGAGTAATTGAGAAGAAGTATTCCAAAGAGAATTAAAACATTTAGTTTTCTTCTAAAATCATATCATTTCTCGTACACATACCTCGAACGTAGAAAAAGGAGGACTCGCTCTCCTGCGCTCTTCCTAATTCATTAAACGCACTGAAAATCAATTCATCTGTGCGAGATGGAAAATTTAATGATCGTGGAAATTTTCTCTTTCCTATTCTTTCTCTTTTTGATAGGACAACTTCTCAAACAAAACTTATTTCATTGCTGCTGCTGATACTGCTACCTACCTACCTAACTGCTATTATTCCCACTTACTTGCTTTTTGAAATGACAGAAAAAATCGTAAGGGAATACTGTTTGATTATCTCTTGGTTGCCTTTAACTATTTTTGTGATAAGCAATTAAACTTGACAAAATATACTTTGAAAAAATGGCCTTAAGGTAGTATTTGGAAACAGATCTTTTAGTGTACGTGTATTTGGATCCACGAAAATCTTCCTTTTTCTGGTTGAAAGTTGTATTTTTATAAATTATAATTTTTTAGGAATAAATTTTTTTACGTTATCCTGCCTTCCTCTTTTTTTTCACTTTGTACGTGTTATTTTATATTAAGTTAAAATAAGTGACTTAAGTATTAGGTCCAAATATATATTCTATCCTCGATTATCAGCTGTGGCTTTGACCGGAGGCACAATGGAAAATCAAAAATTACTTAAAGCGAGTAGTAAAGAATAGAAAAATCCGGCCGAAAAGGCTTACATAAAAGTAATAAATAAAAAAAACACACAATAAGAAAAAATCATTAAATTCTTTAAAAAAATAAAAATATTAATTGATCGAATAAAATAAATACATTTCAGATTTTGCCAAAGCATTTTTCGACTTTGATCTATCAAAACCATAAACAAATAGCACTGAAGCCCGATCGTTGATCTCTCGTAAGCTTTTAGAATACCTAGGCCCATTTTTGCCGTATTTGTTACATGTTTCGTAGAAACATGAAACGAGATAGTTAAGTACGTGTTTTTCAAATGGTTTATTTGTTAGAATTTTGCTGTACCTAGCTACTAAATATTCCCGGCTTATCCGTTAAAGTGTCTGTGAGGGTAAGGAAATCGATGGCCCATACGTACTTTGTTTCTAAAATGAGCTAGAAATAGTAGTGCCTTACTGCGAAGTATAATGTAACTATTTATGCTTCTTTAACATGTTGCCTATCCGACTGAATCGAAGGCGAACTTCAAATGGACTCAATTTACGGAAAAGTTCCCTCGCCGGTGTTCTAATTGAGTATGAAATTCTCCAAAATATTGGGAGGCATTCTTCCTTAGCATGGCAGAACGGTGTTGACTTGTATTGTGTTCCTGCTAACGTAAATTTTTTCCCAATGTCGTTCCAAATGCTTGGTTACATCCTGGTCTCTGCTTGTATTCTGTTCATCTTTTGATTCCCTGTCTCAAGTTGCCTTATGTTCTACCACACTACAAAAAACCGCTTTAAATCAATTTTGTTGCTAGAAGTTGTCATCTGTAGGTGGAAGTCTATTTTAAGACTCATTTTTTGAAAATATTGTTTAATTTGTCACCTCCATTTCTCTAATAATTGGTTTTAATTTATTTTCCTCTTACTTCCTCAGGTTGAAATCACTGAAGAGCAGAGAGTGCGAATGGAACGTAATCGCCAGCTAGCTCTAGAAAGATGGTTAGCTCGAATAGAAGCTCAAAAAGCAGCTGAACAAATGCAAGC